GTGAGCAGAGGGTCAGGGACTCCGAAAGCACAAAGAACAACCCAGAGCCCAGGCCTACTGATGGTATCATAGGCCTTGACCAGGTCAATAAAGCAGAGATGTAGGTCTTGTTGGAATTTCCTACACCTTTGCTGTAGCAGACGGACAGACAATATGGCATCTGTGCAGGACCGCCCTTTCCTGAAACCGCATTGGGGCTCCGCAAGCCTCTCCTCAGCGTGCCTAGCAAGGCGATGTTGAATAATCCCTGCCAGGACCTTTCCCGGCACACTGAGAAGTGAGATGCCCCTGTAGTTGTTACAGTCTGTGCGGTCCCCCTTCTTAAAGAGGGGGACCACCAGGGCATCCTTCCAATCCTGCGGAACCCATCCAGTGGTCCAGACTGTTGTTATGATGTCATATAGGGCAGTCTGTGCACAAACGCCACCCTCCCTCAGCATTTCGCTTTGGAGATCATCTCTGCCCGGTGCCTTTCCTGGTCTCAGACTCCGGATCGCCTTCAGTACTTCCTTAACAGATGGCACCTCAGCCAGCCACTTGCAGGGGGTGACTTCTTCCAATATTTGAGGCACAGCAGCCTCAGCAGGGTCATCCCCACTTTGTGCCACGATGTTTTCCTGGCTGAGGGATTTCCCCTCCCCCAGGACCTCACAGAAATGCTCAGCAAATCTGCAAACATGTTCCTGGGGGTCGGAGATTGGATCACCGTTGTTTTTTCCTTACTGATGATAATAGGTGTGGCGCTGCAGATTACTTTTTTGATGGAGTTAAATAGTGATTTACATTCGCGGGCCACTGAGGCAGACTCCATCTCCTCAGCAATCCGCGACCACCTTGCACCCCAACCACACACCAACCACTAACCACCCCCAACCACACACCAACCACTAACCCACACCCCAACCACACACCAACCACTAACCACCCCCAACCACACACCAACCACTAACCCACACTCCAACCACTAATCACACCCCAACCACACACCAACCACTAATCACACCCCAACCACTAATCACAGCCCAACCACACATCCCTCGGCTTTAGCACTGACACCTCCTCTCAGTGGGCGCGTCCCCCCACCCCCCAGACCCCCCAGACCCCCTCCAGCCCCCCCCCCTCCAGCCCCCCCCCCCAGACGCCCCCGCCCCGCCCCCGGCCTTCGCGGGGGGCGGGGCGGCGTGGGGGTCTAAATGTCAAGCGTGAAACGAGGCTGGCGCGCGACCTCGCGAGTGCTCCTCGGGCTGCGGTGGCCTTTCACAACAGGTGGCCATCAGCAGCAGCAGCAGCGGCAGAATTATCATCAGCAGCAGCAGCATCAGCAGAATTATCATCATCAGCAGCAGCATCAGCAGAATTATCATCTTCAGCATCAGCAGCAGCAGCGGCAGCGGCAGCTTCAGCAGAATTATCATCTTCAGCATCAGCAGCATCAGCGGCGGCTTCAGCATAATAATCAGCATCATCGTCATAACACGTCGTCTTCATCATCAACATGAGCATCATCATTTTCATCATCAGCAGCCCTATCATCACAAGCCCTATCAGCGGTATCAGCATCAGCATTATCGCCACCATCATCCTCATCATTAACGTCATCATGAAGACAATGACAAAGGTCCCCCGTATAGCCTGTGGTAGTAGCAGGACAGTATAGAGCACGCGGGGTTGAGTAACCAACACCGCGCTAGACCGCCTTTGTCTCCCCAGTGCCGATGTTTACACAGCACACCAGGTAATCACTTCAGGCTGAGTCGAACTAAGGGAGGCCCAGCACCGGTTCAAATATTCGCCACTCCTATTGCTTGAGCGGGAATCGAACTCGGGTCGCAGAGTTTGTAGCGCAATCAGCTAACCGCCACCACTCCTCACACACAAACAACAACAACCACCATTTGCTACTAAGTGGCGGTGACGACATCACGACGCTTGTGCCAAGCGCGGTGCACCTCGAGGTCACGTGAAATGTAAAAGGCTCGCTGCTGACCTCAAGGTCACGGGACTGTCCCGTGACCTTTCTATGGGCTGACCGACTGAGATGACTGGCGTATGCACCACTTGCGCTCCCTACTGTGCAAACTCGCTGCATTGTATCCGTCCGGCGCTCCGCTCGTTGTTGTGAGCGTCGCTCCACTGCCCTCCGTTGTTGCTGGAGGGCGACTGCCTCCAACTGACCAGTAGCAGCGTCCTTCACGAGCCTCCTCCACAGAGGCCGATCTTGACACCGCTGGTAATGATTATTGGCAAGTCCACACAGCTCCACATCCTCCTGTACCACATCACTCCATCTCTTCTCCAGCCCATGCTGCGCCCGTTTAGCCCCCTCTACCCGGCCAAACAGAAGCTGCTTGGGTATGCGGTGGCTGGGCTTGCGGGCGACATGACCCAGCCTTGCCTGCCGACGAAGCTCACTGATAACACTGTGTAACAATTATTTTTTTGCTCCTGGGTAGTAAGTGTTATTTCCTAATTTCGTATGCCTAATAAGTACAGAAAATGGCTATTATTCCCCACAAACATTGCTTTTGTGACCAGGACATTGATATTTTGAAATTTACCTATTTTCCAGAACATTCCAGATAGATTCAGTGCCGAGTAAACTTGTAGTAACTTCTAGAAAATTCTAGAACTTTCCAGTATTATAAATAGTAGTATAAGGACAGAGGCCTTAGGCCCACCAGTTCAGTTTAGTTCCAGCTGCCTGAGTGAATACATATCTGTCTCTTTCTGAGAGGGCATCAAGAGGCTGCAAGCATCCGGCAGACGCATGTTTCTATGTCTGCAGCCAATTTATCAAGACAAGAGCGAAAAAGTATTCTGTGGAAGCATCTGCTAAGATGTGCGAGGCCAACAAGGCATATTTCGGCATGCCTGCCGGGGATCAAGACAAACCCTGGACACCTCGCTTCACCTGCGGGCAATGCAAACAAAAACTCTGGAAGGTAAGATGGGCGATTGATGCTCCGAATTTTATGTTATAAATTTTGTAAAAAAAAATTGTAAAAGTTTTACATTTTTTTATGTTTTACAATTTTCAATGTTATTTAAAAAATATATCATGAATGAAAAATGTTGCGAGAATCTCTTACACATTAGTCATGGGTGAAATAAATGTATTTTTATAGGATGGTACAGAGGGGGAAACAGAGCCATGAAGTTCGCTATCTGAATAATTTTGCGGGAACCCACTGACCACTCAAGCAACTGCTACTTCTGCATGGTGGGCCCTTCCAAACGTCAGACTGGCAAGAATGCACCTGCTATCACGTATCCGGACCTTCCTTCATCCATCGCCACACTGCCATGAGCTCCCCGTACCCACTCCTCCGGAGAGAGAGCAGCCGTCTTTAGAAGAGAGCAGCAAGTCAGAGAGCGAGGAAGACGTCGTAGATCCAGATGACAATTTCAGAGGTGGAGCTGAGGAGAGAAACCCATACTACCCTAACCAAAAGACCTCAACGACTTGATCAGAGATCTTGGTCTCACCAAGTCCAATGCCGAGCTTTTAACGTCTAGGCTCAAGCAGTGGAACTTGTTGGATAAAAGTGTGCAGGTCGCAGATCAGAGGAAGCATCACGAGGCAATCGGAATCGCCTGTAACCAGAATGAGTGGCGCCTCTTCATTGACAGCTCATCCAGGAGCCTCAAAGCCGTGCTGCCCCATAATGGTAACAAGTACCCGTCTTTTCCCCTGGCTCACTCGGTGCACCTCAAAGAGGATTACAACAGCATCAATACCTTGCTGGACGCCTTGAAGTATGATTAATACGGCTGGGAGGTCATTGGAGACTTCAAAATAGTGGTATTCCTGATTGGTTTCCAAGGCGGTTTTACCAAGTTTCCCTGCTATCTCTGCCTTTGGGACAGCAGGGACACCAAGGTGCACTACCACAAGCGGGACTGGCCACAGCGGACCGAGTTCTCTGTGGGGAGGAACAACGTCAAGTGGGAGCCACTGGTGGACCCCCGGAAGGTGCTGATGCCACCACTGCACATCAAACTGGGCCTTATGAAACAATTTGTCAGAGCTGTAGATAAGGAGTCGGCAGCCTTCAAGTACCTTCAAGACTTCTTCCCTAAGCTGTCTGAGGCAAAGGTCAAAGCCGGTGTCTTCGTTGTACCACAGATAAAGAAGATCTTGGAGTGCAATGAATTCCCCAAGAAGCTCACAAGTAAGAAGAAAGCGGCTTAGAACAACTTTGTCGCAGTGGTTCGTGACTTCCTGGGCAATCACAAGGTCGAAAACTACGTGGAGCTGGTTGAGACTCTGGTGAAGAACTACATCACAATGGGCTGTAGGATGTCCCTCAAAGTCCATACCCTAGATGCTCATCTTGATAAATTCAAGGAGAACATGGCAGCGTACTCGGAGGAGCAAGGCGAGTGCATCCACCAGAATATACTGAACTTTGAACGCTGCTACCAAGGACAGTATAACGAGAACATGATGGAAGACTACATTTGGAGGCTGATTCGTGAAAATGATTCGCAGTA